ACCCCCTGACCCTTGTCCCCTCTCTCCCCCAGTTCTGCCAGCCCAGTGGTTGGCAGCTCTTCCCTGAGAAGAATCCTCCCACCTTCTTCGTGGCTGTGCTGACTGACATCAACTCGGAGAGGCACTACTGCGCCTGCTTCACCTTCTGGGAGGCTGTGGAGAGCCCACAGGTAGCGGGGCAGGGTGGGATGGGGGGTCAGCAGCACTGGGGGAGAAGCATCCAGCTGCCCTTGGTTCTGGCCAGCGGTTCCTGCCTTCCCTGTGCCAGGGGAATCCAGGATCTGGGGCCTTGGGAGAGGGAATAGCGTCATTTAAGCAGGACCGTTGCCTGGTGTGTGTCTCCCCAGCCCCAGAGCCACCCCAGGAATGGTGAGGGCGAGGAGGAGGGTGAAGAACCATCATCTCCTGTTCAGCCCACTGAACTCTTCGCTCCCAAGAGCCTGGTGCTGGTGTCCCGCTTGGACCACGCGGAGGTGTTCCGGGTAAGTGCACGGTTCCTGGGAGCTGGCATCTGCTCAGGGGGAGCTTTCTGGGAATGGCTTCCTGGCTGTGGGAGCAGGAACACTGTGGCACAGCACCCCTGGGAGTTTGGCCTGTCCCCATCCTGCCCTTCGCACCCTGGAGCTGCTGCTGATCCCGAACGGCTGTGGGACAGTGATCCAGGCCCTGCTGGAGCCTCCTGGTTAATGGAAAACCCTGAGGAACAACCTGTTCCTGCAGAGCTTTTGTGTTTGCCACCTGTCTTGGCACTAAAGGTTCTGCATTGTGTGGCTGGGAAAGGTTTGGGAGGGTCAGGCTGGGAGCTGGTGACTGTGTCTGATGGGATGGGGATGGGAGAGCTGGGAATGTTCACCTGGAGGAGAGAAGCTCCAGGGAGACCTCAGAGCCTCCTCCCAGTGCCTAAAGGGGCTCCAAGAAAGCTTCAGAGGGACTTGGGACAAGGCCTGGAGGGACACATCCCCAGGCTCCAGTGAGGTCAGTGAGGGGATGGAGATGTGCTGCTGTCTGCAAGCAAACTGACCACACACCAAATATCTCGTGGATAAGGAAGGTCTGGAGCACTGTCCCAGGGGTGTTTCTGGCTGGGAACAAGCCCTGGGCCCCATGTGGAGGGTCTCCCCAGCTCCCAGCCCTGCTCAGCCATGCTCTTCTCTCCTCTGCAGAACAGCCTGGGCTTGATCTACACCATCTATGTGGATGGGCTGAGTGTGTCCTTGGAGAGTGTCATTGGGAACCTCCTGACCTGCACCATCCCCATCACTGGGGGAGCACAGGTGGGTGTCCTGCCCCTGCCCTTGCCATGCTCTACTCCCTCAGCAGCTCCAACAGCCAAGCTGGAAGGTCCTGCTCTGGGTTTGCTGTGCTGGGTGAGCTGAGTGAGGCTCGTGGCACCCCTGGGCAGGGTCTGGCTTGGTGCCTTGTTGCCTTCCCAAGTGCTTGGGAGCACAAGCACCAGAATTCCATGATACGGAGCTGCTCAGCTCCCAGATCATCCCAGAAGGTCCTGCTGCCTCGCTCTGCTGCAGCTTGCTGTGTCCTGGCAGTGTGGTCCTGGCTCCAGGAGGGAGCACCAAGGGCTTGAGCACTAGCTGACATCGGTGCTGGTTGATCCATGCAAACGGATTCCATGGTGTGTGGTCATTCCTGCAGCAGGGTCTGCACTCAGCCCTGGCTGATTGCCTGGGGAGCTGCTCCAGAGCCAAGTGGTCATGGACCATCTGTGAGAGCAGGGATGGGGCAGCTGCAGGGCCAGTGATGCTAGTCTGGCTGGTGCTCTCCTCAGACACTGGCCTGGGCCTGGTCCTGATCTCGTGTCTGGTCTTGTGCCTGGTCCTGTGCCTGTTCCTGGGTCTGTGCCTGTTCCTGTGTCCATGCCTGTTCCAGGTCCTGGATCTGAGCCTGGCCCTGGTCCTGTGCCTGTTCCTGTGTCTGTGCCAGGTTCTGGGCCTGTGGCTGTGCCTGGGCTCGGCTCCATGCCTGGTGCTGTGCCTGTCCCTGGGCTCTGCCTGATTCCGGTTCCTCCCGGAGCAGCAGGACTGGGAGCAGCAACCGGATCCGGGTGGCTCCTGCAGCCACCATGGCTCACTGGGCTTGGCACAGCCTCGTCCCCCCAGCTGACCCAGGGCCACCCTGTGCCATGGGAACAAGCTGTGGGTGCCAGGGGGGACGTTTGGGGATGGCACTTCCCTTCCTGGGCTTCACCTCTTCTCCTGCTGTGTCCAAGGCTCTTACCAGTGCCGTAGCCGTCGCTCCACGTTTGTGTGTGTCTGTGTGTGTCTGTGTGCTCTGTCCTCTCCTCTCCAAGCTCTGTCCTTGCTTGTGGTGGCTCTGCCTGTGTCCCTGCTGTCCCTTTGTCCACGTGTGTGTCCATGTGTCCTAACTGACTGTGCTATCTCTGTCTGTCCCACCTCAGCCTGACGCGGAGGACGAAGCAGCGGTACGCACGCCTTTTCCTTCACTCTTTGGGGTCTGGCCCTCGTTAGCAGCCTCTCTGTTAATTACTCTCAGCCTGGCCCACCCCCACCTGCGTCCTGGTGGTCTCAGGGCAGCCTTGGTGGTGTGTGTGGCACTGGCAGGGGCCAAGATGTGTCCCTGAGCTCCTGTCTGCCTCTCCCTGTGCTCTCCTGGGGGTTGTGCCCCTGCGGTGGCCTGGGCTGGAGGAGCAGGTCAGGGCTCTGGCTCTGCTCAGCCACGGATTTCAGGGCTCTTGGATCTGCAGGGAGAGGTGGTGGCATGGTGAAATTGCTCTTACACAGCAGCCTTTGCCCCAGGGAGGTGTGGAAAGAGGAGGAGAGAGCCAGAACTCTGCTCTTGCCCCAGCCCTGCAGTCTGGAGGGAGCCTGGACGGGGAGGTGTGAGCATCCCTGTGGCACTGGAAGTGGGCTCAGGTCCAGGAATAAGTGCCAGTGGGGAAGAAGCAATGAGTCTGTGCCCAGTTCCTTCCACTGGGAGCCATCTGGGCCTGTTCCTGCTGCCAGGGAGAGCACCAGAGAGGCTGCAGAGCTGGTGCTGCTCCTTGGCACAGCAGGGCTGGGTGGGCACAGCACTGGTGAGCTGCTCCCCTGGGGCCTGAGGTCTTGGGGAGCTCTTGATTCCCGGAGACCCCTTGAGTCCTGGGGAACCCTTGTATCCCACTCACAGTGTGGGTCTTGGGGACATCAGGGACCTGCTGGTGCTGTCTGGGACTGTTGGAGCAGTTCCCCTTCCTCCCCTCAGTCCATGGACCCAGTCAAGCACCCAGTGGGTGCTGTGGCATCATTTTCTTCCCCTTTCCCCTCTTCCCACAGCAGCCATGCTCCAGCTGTGCAGGGTACACTCACCCTGTCCCTGTGCTCTGGGGGGTTTGGCTGCGCCTGCCCTGTCCTGTCACCCTGCTGGGCTGTCCCTGATGACCAGGCGTGTGTTCCCTTGCAGAGGACGATCTCCCTGGGCGCGGGGGACAGGCAGGTGATCCAGACTCCTATCAACGACTCCCTCCCTGTCAGCAGCTGCAGTGTGGCCCTGCTCTTCCGCCAGCTCGGTGAGACTTGTCCCCACACTGCCACCAGCTCAGGGCCAGTGCTGGGCTGGAGTCCCTGTGTGTCATTCCCACCTGGACTTTGGCTCTGGGCTCTCTCCCAGCTGAGCCACCTCAGCCAGAACCTCTCCAGCCATCCCTTTCCTGGGGGATGGGATATGTGGAGGTGTGAGGAGCAGCCTGGGGTCAGCAGGAGAGCCTGGAGCTGCCTCGTGCCCCCTGGGAAAGGCACCCCAGGAGTGCTGGGAGCATCTCTGGGAAGAGATATCCATGTGGGAGCACACCTGGCTGATCCACACTCTTCGTGGAGATGATAGGCTCCTCTTGTGGGCAGAATGTGGGGATGAGGAGTGGGATCCAGCCCAGGTGGGGGTCAGCAGTGTCTGGAGGGGTGCAGGAGGGGATCCCCTGTTTCTGACCACCCTTCTGTGCCTCTGACCAGGTATCACCAATGTGCTGTACCTGTTCTGTGCTGCCCTGACCGAGCACAAGATCCTGTTCCTCTCCAGCAGTTACCAGAGGCTGACGGACGCCTGCCGTGCCCTCCTTGCCCTCATGTTCCCCCTCAAGTACAGGTGAGGGTCCCCACTGCTCCTCAAGCCCCCCTGTTCCTGCCTCACACCCTCCCAGTTTGATTCTCAGTGTCCCTGGTGAATCTTTCAGCCCTGCCTCCTGGTTTCATAGTGTGTTCAGGGGCTGGAAGGGACCTCAGAGATCACCCAGTGCCACCCCCTGCCCTGGGCAGGGACAGCTCCCACCAGAGCAGGTTGCTCAAGGCTTCAGCCAACCTGGAGTGAAACACTGCCAGGGCTGGGGCAGCCACAGCCTCCCTGGGCAACCTCTGCCAGTGTCTTACCACCCTCACAGCCTGGAATTCCTTCCCAATATCCCACCAGTCCCTGCCCCCTGGCAGTGGGAAAGCCATTCCCTGTGTCCTGTCCCTCCAGGCCTTGTCCCAGGTCCCTCTGCAGAGCACTTCCAGGGATGTGGCAGCCACAGCTGCTCTGGGCAAGCATCAGGAGCCATGCATGGCCATGGGCCACATGCTGCCTGAGGTGCTGAGTGCCAGGGACAGCCTGGGCACACATCCCCCAGTCTCTGGAGTTGGGATCACGGCTGGGAGTGAGGATGGTGTTTGGATGTGGATCAGGGCTGGGCTGGCTGCAGTGGTGCTCTGTTCTGGTTGCAGTTTCACCTACGTGCCCATCCTGCCTGCACAGCTCCTCGAGGTGCTGAGCACCCCAACGCCGTTCATCATCGGCGTCCACTCCATCTTCCAGTCGGAGACACAGGAGCTGGTGAGGCATCGCATGCCAGGGCAGGCCCAGGAGTTGGCATCTGGCATCGTCCTCAGGGTGCCCAGGGCCAGGGGTGCCACACAAGCCCAGGGGAGCTGGCTGGGTCCAGTGGGGCTGGATCTAGTGGGACTGGATCCAGTGGGGCTGGCTGAGTCCAGTGGGCCTGGATACAGTGGGATTGTCTCGATACATGGGATTCTCTGGATCCTGTTGGGACTGGTGGGTCCAGTGGGAGTGGCTGGATGCAGAAGGAGCTAACCCAAACCAAGGTCCATGCATCCTTCTGGCTCCCCTGGGTGAGGGTGGCCAGGATCAGTGTTGGACTCATCCAGGCTGGTCCAAGGAATCTGGTGCCATGAGGTCCTGACAAGCCTTTCTGTCCTGAGCTGGTGCCCCTGGATAGCTTTCTACCACCTGGGGATGTCCCGGGAAGCTTGGCCTGGGCTCACAGCTGTGCTGCCCTTGCAGCTGGACGTGGTGATTGCAGACCTGGACGGTGGCACCGTGACTGTCCCTGAGTGCGTCCACATCTCCCTGCTCCCTGAGCCCCTGCTCCAGCAGACACGGGAGGCTCTCTCCATGGTGAGTGCTGTGACATTCCCTGCATCCACAGGTTGCCAGCAGCTCAGGAATGACACACGTGTCCAGGGAGCTGGGGGTGGAGCAGGGACTCCTCTGTGAGCAGGTCCGTCCCTTGGGGTCCTGCAGACCATGGCACAGGGACCATTCCCAGTGGCCTCTGGCCAGCACCTTGGGAATGCCACACGTGCCCATGGACACTGGGAGTGGAGCAGCAGGGATTGCTGTGTGAGTGGGGTCCGTACCTTGGGGTCCTGCAGACCCTGTCACAAGGACCATTCCCAGTGCAAAGGCCTCTGGTGCACAGCAGTGCTGGAGAGGTGTTCCTCTGCCAGAGGTTTTTGGGAATGGGGTGGGTGCCTGGCTCCCAGCCTGTGGGCAGGAAGCACCTGTCGTCCTGCAGCACTTCTGGCTGCTCCCATGTTCCCGAGGCCTCTGGACCATGCCCAGGGCACTGTGCCAAGCAGCTCCTGCTCCTCCACCATGTCCGGGGGCAGTGGGAGGTGAAGGTCTGGGACTGCTCTGTGCCAGCAGTGCTTCCCGAGGAAGGGTCAGGCTGTGCCTGGGGGAGTGTTCCTGAGCCCTGAGGGATGTCTCCAAGCCCCTCAGACCTTTTCTAGGGGAGCTGTGGGGTCCCTGGGGAGCAGTCCTTTGCTTTTCCAGCCAGGAAGGTAGGGACGGCCCTGGGGCAGGGCCTGAGCTCTGTGTCCTCTCGAGCAGGTCCTGGACCCGGAGCTGGAGATGGCAGATCTCGCCTTCCCCCCTGCCACCATCTCTGCCTCTTCCCTCAAGATGCAGGTGAGCGAGGAGGGAGGAACTTCTCAGGGAGGTTCCTGACCCTATGGGCACCTCAATTCTACCCCATTCCTTGGCCATGGAGCACACAGGTGTGACTTCAGCCTGGCACCGTCTCAGACCACCATGGCCAGCGCTCTAAGCCATGGCCAGAGACAGCAGTGCCCATGGGTTGCCCATGGCCATGGCCCTGACCACACCATGACCATGCCGTGACCACACCATGACCACACCATGACCATGGCCATGGCCATGCTGTGGTGCCGTGACTGTACCATGCCCATGCCCTGACCACACCATGACCATGCTGTGACCACACGGTGACCGTGGCCTGACCGCCCTGTCGTTGCTCCTGCAGGACAAGGAGATCCGCGCGGTGTTCCTGCGGCTGTTCGCGCAGCTGCTGCAGGGCTATCGCTGGTGTCTGCACATCATCCGCATCCACCCCGAGCCCGTCATCCGCTTCCACAAGGTCAGGGCAGGGCCTGGGGCTGCGGGGCAGGGGCCAGTGCTCCTGTGCAGGGGCTGCTCCGGGGAGGGGGGGGGATAAGCTGGGCTCTGATAGGGCTTACGGATGAATCCAGAAAGCAATTCTAGGTTTCACAGTCATAGTTTCTGTAGTCCTTGCTGGGAGCTGAAGGGGCTCCAGGGAAACTGCAGAGGGATCTGTGTTAGGAGCTGCAGAGACAGGGCAAGGAGTAATGGGGAGAAATTGCAAGAGGGCAATTTAGATTAAATCTTAGGCAGAAGTTTTCCCTTTGAGGGTGGTGAGACGGTTATCCTGTGTGGGGCTGCCCCAACCCTGTCAGTGTTCACAGCCAGGTTGGCTGAGCCTTGAGCAACCTGCTCTGGAGGGAGGTGTCCCTGCCCAGGGCAGGGGTTGGGGCTGGGTGATCTCTGAGCTCCATTCCAACCCCTTAGCAAGCTATGATACCATGAAGCTCTCAGCCTGGATGACACTGCTGGCGACACACACTTTTCCCTCTCCAGGCAGCATTCCTTGGACAGCGAGGGCTGACGGAGGATGACTTCCTTACCAAGGTGCTGGAGGGCATGGCCTTCGCTGGCTTCGTGACGGAGCGCGGGGCCCCGTACCGCTCCATCGACCTCTTCGACGAGGTGAGCTGGGAGCAGCTTCCCAACGGCTTGGAGAGAGGTGGAGGATGTCTGTCCTGCCCTGGCAGCTGGGAGAGGACTAGAGGGAATGGCCTTGAGCTGAGACAGGGCAGAGTCAGATTGGATGTGAGGGGAAATGTTTCACTGTTGAGGTCAGGGATCTTGCCCAGGGAGGTGGTGGAGTCACCATCCCTGGAGGTGTTGAAAAGGCATCTGGATCTGGCACTGGAGGATCTGGTTTAGGGGTTCCAGCAGTGACAGGTTAATGGTTGAACTTGATGACCTTAGAGGTCTCCTCCAACCTTGATGATTCTATGATTCTATCCAATGATTCTACTCCCCCTTCCCACTCATCCTGCTCAGCCCTCCCTGCCATCCAGGGTTTGACTGGGATCTACTGGGGGGCAGGCTGGGGCTAGGAGGGGTGGCCAGAGCTGCTCCTCTCAGCTGGTTCTCCTCCCCAGCTTGTGGCCTATGAGGTGAAGCGCATGCGGGCAGAGGAGGGGAACAAGCAGAAGGTCCTGAGGCACATCAAGGAGCTGGCGGAGAAGCTGTACAAGAATGTGAGTCCTGGAGGCCACAGGCCAGGAGGGAGAAGGTGCTGGGGGGCCACATGGCAGGGAAAGCTTGGGATTGGAGCCCCAGTTGGGCTGGGTTGTCTGCCCAGGTGGGTATGGGGCACGGAAAGCCTGGAATGGAGCCCCAGTCCCTCTGTCCTCCGTCTATAAGCTCTTGGTGCATGATGTTCTCCTCCTCTGTGGTGTCACCTGTGGCTGGGCACCTGCTCATGTGCCCAGAGGTGTCTGGCCTGGCATGAGCTCCTCTCAGTAGTGATATTCCCTGGTTTCCAGTGGCTCCAGGCCAGCACAGGTCTCCTGAAGGCAGTGCAGTCACCATGGGCCCTTCAGCTGTCTCGGGATGGAGCTCCTAAGCAGAGCTTGGTCAGGATCACACTAGGCTGTCCATGGGGCTCTGAGGAGCAGATCCTGCTGGCACTGCAGGCTCCTGGGAGTTGTAGATCCAGCTGGGAGCAGTGGAGGTGGCTGAGGGCTGCCTCCTGCCCTGGGAGAAGATGTGCCATGTCCTCACTCCTGACGAGGACCTGTTCTTGCTGTGGCAGGAGAACCCGTACCCTGCGGTGACCATGCACAAGGTGCAGAAGCCCACGGAGGGTTGTCACCTGCGCCTGCACCAGAAGCCCTTCCCCAGGCTGGATGAGGGGACAGTGCAGTGGATCATCGACCAGGCCACAGCCAAGCTGCAGACAGCCCCTCCAGCTGTCAAGGCTGAGAAGAAGTGCATGGTGCCATCAGGACCTCCCATCGGTATGTGTGCATGCCCTGCGCAGGTTGCTGCCTCTGGTCCTCAGGGATTCGGTTCACTCCATGGCACATCCAGGGGTTCCATGGGGATAAATGGAAAGGAGAAATTGAGATTAGTTATCAGGAAGAAGGCCTGTGATGTTAGGTTGGTGAGACACTGGCACAGGTTGCCCAGGGAGACTGTGGCTGCCCCAAC